AAATAACTGTCCTTTTGATACACCATTTTTTTGCAGGCATAAAGTCTAAACATTGCCAAACATTTTTTTAAAATATTTTCATCAAGTTTTTGGAGCTCTAAAACTGGCGATTTTTACTCAATGTGGTCGGATATTCAATCTGTTACAGACTATGTGCTTCAATTTGTGACCAAAAATGTTGAGACCAAAAATTTTTGCAAACATATTCAAAGGTTCTGAAATTGATATTTATCTTCCTCGCACATGCAACACATAAATCAGGGCTAGTTCAAGGGTCTCATCAACCTAACAGAAAAATCTATGATATGGGCAACCCACTCTACTACATCTCAATTTTTATATGATAGTATTCATATGAAATACAAATTTTATTATAACCTAATTGTGTACAATAATGGATCTTATGCAATATAGGTGAACAATTCAACTAGAAAAATTGAAAATAAATAATATGTATCTAAATAAAAATTAGAGATATATCATAAGAGATCATTCTATCTTAAATAAATCCAACAATGTTTTGTGGCAATTTTTAACATCAACTTGAGATTTTTTCTTGTTAAAAAGTTGAAGAATTTTAACACATTAAATATTTATGATAAAAATAGTAAATTTTATAGGGTGTTTTTTCAAGATTCAGCCTGAGCAAAACAAATTCACAGATCTTGATGAAAAAAAGAACCCAGAAATCCACAAAAAATTTTCATCCTTCAATAGTCTTTTATGTCTAGTATAATTTATAATGTACATAAATGTAGGTAGAAAAAAGCAAATGTTGATAAGATATTGAGGGTCACAAAGCACCACCTGAGCATCCAGCCAGGCTTGGGCCCCCCCATCCTATTTTCAACAGACTTAGCAATTGCTGAATTAGTTTGATGTTTATTTCACATTGATATTTCCTCTTTAATTCTAGTTTCATTGCTCTTTTTTCTTATCGGCTGATGAAGTGCAACACAACATTTTTCTATCAGTTTCAATTATGTTAAATTCTTCTCAGGGTTTACTGGACACTTTCTTCTTTTAATGTTGGTGGCAGGATGACAGCCATATGTCACTTATACAAGGCCATGTGTCATACTGTCACCACAATTTGAAAGTGCTTCCTGGATCCTTATCATTCAATAAATGTGAAACTGTCATTTCTTATTCAACTCTTGACAAGTTAATATAGCCACACAGGCATAAACTGATAAAGATGATTGAAGTCAGTCAGATGGGATGATAAAAAGATAAGATAAAGAAGAAATCAATGGTCACCAATAAATTAGCTAAGAAACCACATTGCAATTTGAGAACCAGCAATAAATGTGTCAAGGAGGTAGAGAGTTTTAATTATCTTAGAAATGTGATTACAACTGATGTGAGATGTAAGACAAAAATCAGGAAATGAATTGCCATTGCAAAAATGAAATTTCAGAACATGTGACTCATTTTTGTCAACAGAAACCTGTCTATGAAGCTGAAGATTTGTCTGATCAAGTATTACACCAAATCAATCTTGACCAATCAATATAAAGCCTAGACCATAAACCCTTAGATTGAGAAGAATGTGAAGCAAAAATGTGATTTTTAAGAAGAATTTGGCAGATATTATATACAGACAGGATGACCAACAAGGAAGTTTTGAGAAGTGCTGAAGTGAGAAGAGGTCTTACTGTCGTCATCATGCAATGACAGCTTTGATTTCTCAGTCATATCTTCCATAAAAGTGGCTTAGAGTATGTGACATTACAAGGCTGCATCAAAGGGAAATGAGTGAGAAGACATCATATGTGCATCATATTTGGACTGAATTAAGGAAGTGATAAGGACAGTATCTACCTCAGCCTTCTTAAGCTGTGCTTGTGATTGTCTGTGGTGAAGAAACATGATCGCCCAAGCATGCATTGTGCATGACACCTAAACAAGTATGACAAAGAAGAAGAGTCAAAATTATGCTTTCATATCACTGATATGGCTAATTATTCATTTAATGTTGAGCACTACTCAAAGAGCAGTAGCTACCAATTTGATTCTCTAAGTTATTTTCTTCTTGCAAAATACTCCTTAAAACATGGCCATGTGGTTAAAATATTTGATGGTCTGTTGTCATTTTTAATCAGTAATGGGTAAAATGACATTACTCCTCCTCCTCCTCCTTATCATCATCATCATCATCAGCAATCCCATGACCAACTGTAATTATATGTGCTGCTGAGCATCTGATTAGTTCCCTCCACATATCTGTGGTGAAAGTCAGTGATATATGTGTAATGAGTCAACACACACACACATGCATACTTTAACACACACTCACACAAATGTCAAAAGACACACATAGCAGCAGTAGGGTTTAAGGCTCTGTCTAGCTCTGCCAAACCCTACTTGTATGGGAGTTCTGGATTGGTCACAAAACTGTTCAATCACAGTGTCAAATGTCAATCACAGCAGAAGATATAAAGTATTGTGGTCTCTTTTACTTCCAAAGTGTGAACAAACAACAAGGACTCATCTGACACCACAAGCCAGACTCTTTCCAAAGCTGGACTTTCATCATACTGTAAGAAAAAAAAACATTCACAAAAGGTAAAAGTTTTGTATCTTGAATAATGTTTTTCAATAGAATAAGTGTTATATTTAGTATATGCTTTGACTATTTTTGACTATTTTTATTCTTTCTTTAGACTTATCCATAATGTTCACTAGCATAAATCATTATATATGCATGTGATGGGTAAGTAGGCCTGATGGAGCTCATTCAGGTGAAGCCCATTCATTCACAGGCCATTCAGGTGGAGCCTATTCATCTCCACAGCCAATGTCCTCTAACTTGAGGGATTGCCTTGGTCACAGACATATAACCATTGATTCCATTGGAGAAATCTGCCATCCTGGGCATTAAGTTCAGTCTAAGAATTCCTCTGCCCAGTTATGCTGTGTCATCCCCACACTTGCTTCATCCATAGCTATGGAGCCCAATCTACCATATTGTGCTAGATGGCTGTTGACCTTGTAAGAAGGTTTATCCAACATTCAATAGGTTTTGTTTTTAATCCTACTGAGTGTCTATTATCTTGATAAAATGATTAAGCATAAAAAGAATTGAAGAAAAGGAAAAATTAAATATGGTGGTTTTAAAAGAATTATTTTATGGATACAAGGAGAAGAGGGAATGTCATGTATTGTGAAAGGCACAAATGAAAAAAAAATACAAAACTCTTATTCCAGCATGAGATTTGAAAGAAATTTGCATTTATTAAAATGTTCCTTTGTGCACCATACAGTTAGGCAAAAAAACAAATTCTAATTACAATTCATTTGGGCTCATAAAAATAATTATAATTATTATCAACAAAATGTTTACTTACTTCAACTCATTCGGCTGTTGAAAGGAGTTGATAAAAATTCACAAGCGTCATTGGACTTCTGGTTTGTTTAGACAACAATTCATTTTTACAAACTGAAATGAGATAAATCTTGTATTTTCATAAAAAGTTAAAAATCAGGGTTAATAATTCTAATTTTGTGACATGCTCTCAGAATCAACTATTGAAAGATAATCAGCAAATAATTTAAGTAATTCATCTTTTTTGCTTTCTTTCTACTTCTTCCTGTTCTTTTTCTTTCAGCTTTTTCTTTTTGTTTTCGTCAAAGTACTTGGCCAGTTTCAGTTTTTCTTTTGTTTAGTCGTCATTTGCTGATGAAATCCTAATCCCTTCTTGTTTCTGCTTTCTTTTTCTAAGCTCCCGGCAACTGGCCAATGTCTTCTTTGTGAATGCCAAATCCCTTCTGGTTGTCAAACAAAACAGATTTCATAAAAAGCCACATATTGGTTCCGATTTGAATCATAAATTTTATACTGTGGGGTTGTAACTTACTTTCCCCATTGGTTAAAAAATCACAAATGTATCTCTTTAAACCATGCTTGTTTGCAAATTTATTTAGGTGTGTTTTGAGACCATAAGACTTGTGCCTTTTTTTTTTTACAAACTTCAAAAGCCAAATTTTATTCATGTATTGCTTTCATAAAGTGTTGGGCTTCATTTTGGCAGTATTTTTATAACATCAATTTTTACACGTCAAATTTTATTCAATCCAATTTTTACTGTCTGGCTTCATTATAACAGTTTTTTCTTATTTAAAGAATACATGTTAGTAACTTTCTTCTGTATTAATAAATTTTTTCTTTAAACACTTCTCTTAAAAGAAAGTGTAATAAACAAACCTAGTCTATCATATTATTTCTTTTATTGATTATTTAATTATTTTTATATAATTTTACATTTCCTTTTTATTATATCAATTTTTATCATTTTGAGAAGTGTCAGTCTGGGAGAAGATTTTTTATTTTATTCCTTAACAAGATAATCATATTAAAGTGAAACAGAATATTTTGTATTCAAAAATTCATGAAAATAAATTTTAAATTTTTTGCCATTCTATTCACATAAAAATAAATTATTTAAAGCAAAATTCACTTGGTATCTTGATAGTCTTTTAGAATAAAAAAAACTCCAATAAATCCATAAGTGAATACATAATAATAAAAAGAGTTTTCCTTCGTATAATATTAAAGTATAATAAATAATTTCAGTTACTTGAATTATATAATTTTAATAACTATTTATTAAGTTTTAAAACCCTTTTCAGATAATGGGCAGATAACTCAAGATCGGTAATTTTCGCATATCAGTCAATAATTTTCAAATATCTCATTAGGCATCTTATGTATTAAAATACTTTTCAGTTTTATGTAGATATTTAAATTTTAATTAAAAAGAAAAGCTCGAAATAGCAAAGAATTATAAAAAAAATTAGAAACTAAATTCATTAACGTTTGTACGTGACCTTGTGTTCGGTAACGAAGCAGTCAGCGTATGACGTATGTTTGGTCTTTCATGCTCCCCTGGTTTAGATTGTCGGATCCGGCGAAGAAGTTACTCGTCCATTTTCACAGCGGTTTTCTTGGGACCTACCGTCTCTTATGGTCATATAGCACGGCAGGTCAAAACTAGAAAATGGGGAGTAAGTATCAACACTGTTTTTTAAAACTAAATTGATTGAAATACTTTTTCTGGACGAATAATATCCCCGGCAATATGTTAGAAAAGGCTAATCCCTTCTTAAATGCTTACGTGGCTTTGTAACTTTGTTTGCCATCCCGATTGAATTTGAAACCGTTTAACGCCAGAAAACCCATATTTTTTATTTTATCATTGCCATTATACATTGTTTGTTGTATCTAGATGATCAAATGTTTATTAGATTGTGTCTAAAGTCGACACTATGGTATAATTTCGAGGGATTCCAAGAGGAGGTGGATGTGTCTGTAACCGTCGTTCTTTAATGTCTTCTGCTGCTAGAACTTAATAGAAATGTACACTCCTTTTCTCTCTGTGTTTATTTATCTACACTTGCTTATTTGCTAATTTTTTATCTGAATTAATCAACGTATAGGTATTTAGGTATGTAATTATATACATTAACTTGTTCCTTGTTTTATTTTTGCAGTCAAGTTTCTCGAGTTTGTGAAGCCTTTTTGTGCAGTATTGCCAGAAATCTCTAAACCGGACAGAAAAGTAAGTTTAAATTTTTATTCTTTAATTATTTTGAGATCCACGCAGTTTAAAAAATATTTGTTTTATATTTTTTGATTTGTAAAAAAAAAATCTATATTTAAAAAAAAAATAAAAGTATTAATATGATTACTTTATTATTTGCTAGTTTAGAAAAAAAAGGAAAATAAATTTACATTTTTTTACGTACTTTTAAACAATTGTCAAATTTATCACATTTTTTTTGTGTTGATATTTTAAAGTTCAAATATTTACATTTGGAAAAATAATTTTTATTAATTTTCTTTTTTAAAGAAATTTAATCAAGTCTAACTGAAAAGTTTTTAAAATGTATAAATAAAAAGAATATTTTGAAAACCATAAGCTATAAAATAATCACTGTAGTAGTGTATATTTTTATTGTATTTTTAAATGTTTTTCTTTAAAAATTTCTTGTATAAAACAAGTGAAAAATTCTTTTTTTTTTTGTTAACGGATATTTTAAAAATCTTATTTAAAATTTGAGCTTTGTTTTTTCTTTAAAAAAAATACTAATAATTGATTATTGATTTTTTTTTTTTTTTTTAACATTTTCTAGATTTTTAAATTTATAAAAACTTGTAACTTGTTAATTTTTTTTAACTGAACATTAGTTTTAAACGAAAATTGCAGGAAATGTCCAATAAGTCTTTTTAGTTTTTTTTTTAATTCCTGATGTTGAGTAGAGATTTTCAAATTAAAAATGTTTTATCATGTTTGTTTTTATTATTTATAGATCCAGTTTCGAGAGAAGGTGCTATGGACTGCAATCACACTTTTCATTTTCCTTGTTTGTTGTCAGGTAAGTAAAATATTTTAATTTAAATGTTTTTAATTTTTTTTATTAATGTTAAGTTTGTATTAAAAAAACACGTACAATTGAAAATGTGAAAAATTAAAAAAAAAATATGCTAGGCTTACAATGTAATATTTCAATTTCAATATATTGCGTAATGAAAGTTAATAATTTTTAATGCTTTCTTATTTTTATAATTGTTTTTGGGGGTGCTTATTTTGATAATTTTAAAATATGATCAGTTAAAATTAAAAAAAATGAAAACCACGTGAATAGTCTTTTGAGAATAAACTCTAAAGTCATTTTTTTTTTTATTTACTTATTGTATTAATTCTGTGTAGAGTACTAAATATTTATGATCCCCCTCCTTCTATCGCCAAGGGGTAAGTAAATAAGTAGTAAAACTATTTAGTTACACGTGTTGTTTCGTGTCTGCTGCTGCTGCTTTTTCATCTTTTTAAATGTCACGCCTTCTTTGATTTCTTAATTTAATTTTATTATACGTATTTTCCCAGTCATCATTTTTATTTATGTAATTTTTAAAAGAAGCATGGAGATTCTGTCATAATATTTATGTAAAGTCTTCGAAAAAATGAAAAATAAGGTCCGATTGCACCATCTCTCCGGACTCCAGATGGGAAACTTTGTTTACTTTCAATCAGACTTTAAAAAAAAAAAAAAAACCCCAAAAAACAAAACGAACTTGTTTATCAGAACATAATCTTCATGTATAAACGAAACCTCATCTGTTTTTTGTTTTTCTCATGTAATCTCCTTTTTTAGTACATTATCAGCCATTCAAAATCTATTGTTGAACATTGGACACCCCAACAACTCTTCATAATTCTTGACACGTGTCTTCTTGTCTTTCATCCCCTCTCTCTTTGGGATGACTGTTCTCTCTTCTTGACCCCCTTTTTTTTCTTTTTTTTTTAATTACTACGTTGTTGTTTTTTTTATTTATTTATTTTTTTTCCAGAGGTACATTGAAAAATATTTTTATCAATTCTTGTCTTGAAGTAGAGTAGATTATTTTTTTCTTGTGCACTGTACAAGAACACCTTCGCTAATTTCTTCGATGGAAATCTTTTTTCAATGTATTACAAATTTGATTTTTTTTTTTTTTTTTTAAAGAAACTCAAATTTTCTTTCATTGTCCACATGTATAACTTTTTAATTCGATTTATGAATATTCTGAATTTTTTGAAAATTAATGCAAAAATAGTATTAGCGAGTAGCTTTGTGGAAAGATGTTTTTTTTTTTTTTTTTTTTTGCTTTTTATTATTTATCAAACTCATTTAGTAAACCTCTACTATAAGTGGCTCTTGGGCCTTGCATAGGGAGAACAAGAGTATAAAAATATTTTTAATTTGGTGCTTAAAGAGGATAAGAGAGATCATTAATTACTAAACCATAAATACAATTGCTTGATTTCTTTTTAACAACATTGGTGGAAAAAATAAAGCATTTTTATTTTATTTCGTAATAACAATCATCAAATGCAGATGTAGGAAACCTTTTTAGCCCAGAACAAGCATATGTCCAATTGGGTTTTACACAACTTCATAATTTCATAAATCCAGAAAATGAAGAACTAGCTTAAAATCTTTAATGGTTATCATACAGCTACTTGACGAAAATAATTGATTGTTAGTTTTTATTTTTTTTTTTTTATCGATTGTCTTTTGTATTTCTAAACATGTGTTTTCCAAGAAAGCACACATGTTCAATTTCACATTATTTCAAAAGGTTATTGAATAAATGTTATCAGATTTAGGTTTTGTCTAAACTTAATTTTCCAACTTTGGAACTGAATTCTCACATCCTGTTGCAACTTTTTTTTTTTTTTTTTTTTAAAGCAAATTTCTTATGCTCTGTGCATACTTTAGTGTTATGCAGACACACAAAACCATGTGGATTTTTTTTTTTTTTTTTTTTTTAAATCTTAAAAACAACAAAGCAATAGTCATAATAGAAGATACTGCACAGTTGAAACGAATACATCAGTGTTTCATGATCAGGAGAAACCTACAATATATAAAATCCTGGAAGGACCTGTAGTATTAAAATCCAAATGGAGATTAACATTGGCCAGGTAGTAGGATCATATAGGATTTTAATAGATGCTGTCAACCTTAGATGTTAAATACAATAGCAGACCTCAGATCTATTTTCAGTGTGATGAAAAGAAGAAACCAGGTGCATATTCCATTGGACAATCAGCTCCAAGAGCTACCTAACTAAATTTATTCTGATTCTAATGAATAGAGTTTATAGTATAATTCAACTGGAAACCATGAACAGTGTGGCTTTATTTAAGACATGAGAACAAGAAATACTATCAGGGAACCATAACAATGCAGAAGGGCAGATACCTATTTTTTTGTAAATTATACAAAGGTATTTTGATAGGGTAAGGTATTTAAAATATTAGGTTTAATTTACATAGTTCAGTGAATACACAAAAGTAGAGAAAGGAGCAAGGTAAGGATGTTTCTTCCACAAGATTTCTTGAATCTAAACAATGAAATGATCTTGAACTAAAAAAAAATATCCTAACAGCACATAAGCTCCACAGGTTACTGTTGATAGCTGGGTATGATGATAAACTATATCTAGCAGCAAGACCCCCTGATCGAGAGATTGGAAGTTCCGAGGAGCATGGAACTGCCTCTTAATTGTTGCTGTTCCCAGGTCTACCCTGACCCAGGGTGGTAACACCTGTTAGGGTCCCAGCTATGGGCAAACAGTGTGGCTTGGTGGATGGTCACCTTATGGGGACAATACCCGTGTGGGAATGGCAGAGTCCTCAGTTGCCGTTAAAGTTTGAGTTGGGATGAAAGACAAGCAATTATGTCAAAAATTCTCATTCTGCTAGAATTATGGTAAACTCATCAACAGATCCTGTTTCTGGAGTAAGAACTGCCATGTGTGCAGCTAACCAGTAACCTGGAAGTGGGGGCCCATTGATGTGGACAATGCTCCCACACTTGACCTGGAATGACAACTAAAAGTGCTCTTAGACAAGGTAATAAAGGAAGGCAAGAAGAAAGGACTTTTAACTGTACAAGAACAGGATGCATGGTGGTTGACAAAAGAGCATAAAGTGACATCAAAATCTATCAGGTGTAGAAATTCAACTATGTGGATAGTGCAATAACAGGTGACAGAAATCTGAAGGTGCACATAAATAGTGATAGATGCCTTTCAGAAACTTGGCAAAAGTATTGAGAGAGAGAGAGAGAAGAAAATGTCCTTAGAAACAAGTGCTGAACTACCATACAATATCTGATCTCCAATATAGCAGTGAATACTGACTGGCTGATCTCTTCACAGATGAAGAAGAAACTAGAAGCAACAGATGTTGTTATACTAATGAATGCTTAGAACACCATGGAAGCAACAAAGAAGTTTTGACAAACTTTTACTGCAAAAAAAAAAAAATGTCAAAAAGGACATTTTCTTTCCCTTGACACTGCTGTTATTTTAACTACCATCACACCTCAGAAATGTTTGTTTTTGTTTTAAAAAGCAATGATTAGAATTGTAATAAAACCGAAACATGATGAAAGTGAATTTATGCATTTTTTTTTTTATTTATTTTATTTTTTTTGCGCTTGACAATTTACAACAAAAACCTTAAATACTATTTCTTAGATTATTTACAACATTCTAAAAACAATGTTTATCATTTATTAATTTATAAATAAATATGAAAACAATTTAAATCTGTAAGATATAGCTGTTTATATAATATCTATAAGAGAATAAAGAGACTTGCAACAACTGATGAGTGCTGAGAATGCCATAGACAGTGCATGGAAGCAACAAAGACGTTTTAAATAGGAACTGCAGGGAAACTGGTATGTACAGTCAGAAATAGATGGCTAAAATTTGTGGATCTAGAGAATTCAATGCTCACAAGACTTTAAGGGCAAGAAAAGTTGGGGAAAAGAAAAATAATCTATTTGAGTATGTGTGAATAGATGGCAAAAGTTGCTTTGAATAACAAAAGACAGGAAATTGTGAGGAGCTATGATCATCCACATTCTGAAAGGATGTGCTATTTAAATTCAGGCCATTGTGCTTCAAATAATTGTAGACTCAGTTTCACTGAGCAGTTACTTTGGCTAACAAATGTTTGAACAATCAAAAAAAAATGCTGTTTCTTTGTTGTTATACTCTAATTTGTTTTGATGTGAAATAAATTCATTTTCTGGCCAAAATGTTGTCTTTATCCCAGAAGTATGAACTCCTCTTCTGCATCGACACATTTCTTAGATTTCATCAAGCTTTTATCTTCTGATATTTACATTTGGGCTAGTCTCTTCATCTTTGTTGCTGTTACCACCTTTCAGCCATTTTTACCCTTAGGTGTATATTAATCCAGTTAACCTACAGGGAACTTCAAACTGAAGCCATTATGTAATCTACAGGGAGTAGACTTTTCTTGTTCTACTGCTCATATTTTGGGATATCTTGTTTAGTTCATAATTTTAGTACTACACAGTTATTGTTTGCTGTATCCAAGTACACACTGCCCGGCCCAGGGATTGAACTCACAATTACTGTCACCAAATTCATGGCCCAAGGCTTTAATATTTTCTATTTTCCCGTGTTTTATAACTGAGCACATATGTATCAAATCTTTTACATATTTCGAAACTATTCTTTTGGGTATGTCTTTTTTTTTTTTCTTTTTAATTAGAACTGTTTTAATTTTGATCCAACCATGAATGATCTCTATTTATCTCTCTCTCACACACACACACACACACACACACACACACACACACACACAGCATGTTCATTATTATTATTTTGCTTAAACAATGAGACTTTATCTTGGAAATAATCATACAGTTCAATAAATATTGACAGCTTTGATCAATGTCTAATTTCTAACATAATAAATAAGCTGAATTTATGACTAGTGACAAACTAATATTCTCATCATTAGATTGTTTTTATTCTTGATAAGAGTGTCAAGCAATAAAACAATAGA